CAAATTACAAATCGGCTTAAAATGCAGAGGATAAACATAGAAATTATTAAATGTTGATGAACTACTAAAACATTAAGAGATCAGGAACTAAGCTCAGAAAACAGGTGACAAGTTATTAGAGTTTACCTATCATGGCCTGTTGTTACATGCCGCGGTCCTGTTAAAGCAATTGAGGGTAAAAAAAATTAAGAATTCATAGGATTGTTAGATTGAAGAGAAGACGAAAATTTAATTAACTATATAAGTGCCACCTGAAAAAGTCTAATTAGGGTTCATAAGTTGTTACAATTTAGGTATTAGGCTGCTAGCTAGGGCAATAGAAGCGGCCTGATATAGGCGGTTGTATAAAAAAAATAAAAAAGCATAAAACCCTAAATCATCTATTCTTCTCCACCGCCGCCTCCACCATTTTTAGTCTCCCCCTTCTTAAAATCATTTCCTCTTCTTCAAGTTTCCAACTCCTAATCACGATTTCTTTTCAATCTGCAACAGATTTTTATGATTTTTTCAAATTATCATGTTATTATGTTTTTTCTTCCCATTCTCTTAACAATCTCATCTGCTTCTAACCCCTTTTCCTCCTTTTTCATCTTCCCCAATGTTCTCTCTCCTTTCTCCACTCTGCAACAGCAACTTCGGTGAAAACCGAAATAAAAAAAATGAATACCGAAATTTTCGGTATCAAATACCCGAAAAAATAGAAGGATTCCATTATTAGTTTCGATCATGAAAAAAAGGGGAAAAAAGAAATAATGGTTAGTTACTTTCCGGTATCGGTTTTCACCGAAATCTACTGAAGTAATAAGGAGGCATTTTCCCAAAAAGGGAATTAACTTAAATAAATAAATACCATAACAACAGGAAAAAATTTATCAAATTTAAATAAATAAAATTAAAACCTGGAAGAGAAGACATCAAGCTTGCTTCTGTCGCTGCAGCTGGTGGAGGAGGGTGAGGGAGCTGAAAGCCTGAAACCAAGTAGTCTTTATAATAGTGATTGAACATGGCAATTCATCACATTTTTTTTATATGAAAATGAATGTGGGGAAATAGTAGTTTTATATTGGCAATTCATGATTCATCACATTTTTTTTTATTAGGTCGGTTGGAGAAAAGTCTACCACTGCCAATGGGAACACGTGAGGGGTGTTTGGTACCAATAATAGATGAGGGGTGCTAGGGGCACTCGCCTTCTGCACTCTCCGGCAACACTTTCACTTTTATTGGGCCACGTTATTCTGGTAGCGAAGAGGTTGCACTTCAAAACCTGAAATAAGATTACGTGGCCCAATGAAAGGGGAAGTGCTGGCCGGAGAGTGCAAGAGGCGAGTGCCCCTAGCACTGCTCTTAGGTTGTCGGATACGAATCTGCGAGAAGAAAATGACAGCAGGATCTCTGACTTTTATTATTTGAATGATGATAAGGATAACTGAAAATTGACATTAAAAACTAGATGGTTAGTTTTGGTTCAGTGCATTGAACCTGGACTGGTTGTTTATCTTCGTGGATAGCATACTTGAGCCTTATGATTTTTTTCTTTTTCTCTAGTATGTACTTGTAAATAATGTTAAAATTGCTTTAAAAAAATAAAAAAAATTGACATAAAAACTTAATATTAATAATGTAATTTATGTTATGATATTAAATTAATTAATTTATATAATATTATAAATCTTAAAAAATAAAAAAATTATTAAATAATATCATACTTAATTTTTAATATTTTAAACAATATAATATAAATCACGTTTTTAATTTTATATTTTAATCTCAAGTTTTAGCGTGATTTGTCATTATTATTATTTTTTTTGGCGAATCTTAATTATAGGAGCAACTTCTAGTTCTACCATTCTGGATTGCTTCTCTACGCATTTTGAAAACTGAAACTACTCCAACCCAAAGAGTTGGAGCTAGTTACAAAGGAAGTTTACTTCTTATTTTGGGGATCAATGTTTGATTTTTTTAAAACTAATTAGGAGTTTTTTTTTTTTTCTAAATTTTTAA